GTCACATCAACAGAATTTGTTTTTGGTGTTTTTGGCTTGTTTTTCATCTGGTTTTCATATGTAATTGTTTGTTTTCTTCATCTTGCTCCATTTGAGCATGAACTTTGAATACCTGCAAAATACTGGACAAATAATGTGAAAATATCCGAAATCGGAGTGAAACCAGACACTGATTAGTAAAAATGTATGTCATTATATATATACAATTTCGCGTTATCACACCCAGCCAATTCATTCTGGTGTAACCGGTTACCAACAGAACAGAACCTCTAGCAGCTTTGTTTTTTATGATCTTGCCAGTTCCAAAACCATTGTGCAACCCCCGAATGAGGTCCGAAACGAATAGAATATTAGAAGATCAACAAGGAAAATTATGTTTCCTCAAATACTCTAAGAATTTGAGAGATTCCAAGACAATAAAATCAATGATGATGGTGATTTCGTTCACTTTCCGCTTATGGTCGAATCTAAACTGGTGAATATGGAAGAAGCTCTAAGCGATTCAAAGTGGATTTGTGCAATGAAAGAGGAGCTAGAATCTATTGGAAAAAAATGGTACTTGGGAGTTGGTTGATTTACCACTTGGAAAGAAGCCGATTGGTGTGCGATGGGTCTATAAAGCGAAGGCAAATTCCAAAAGCGAGGTGATCAAGCACAAGGCTCGATTGGTAGCAAAATGATTCTTGCAACGTGAAGGTATAGACTTTGAGGAGGTGTTTGTACATGTGTTTAGACTTGAAACTATCTGATTGGTTATTGGCATTACAAATAACAATGATTGGAAGATATTTCAAATGGACGTTAAATCTGCCTTTTTCAATGGTTCACTTGATGAAGAGGTTTATGTTGAGCAGCCCCCCAGATTTGTGGTAAAGAATCAAGAGATTAAGTACTACAAATTGCATAAAGCATTATATGGTTTTAAACAAGCTCCAAGATCTTGGAACAAACACATTTATAACTTTCTTATTGACATTGGTTTCAAGTGATATGTATCTGAACACGCAGTTTATGCGAGATCGGATGCAAATGATGGTGTGATCATTCTTTGCTTGTATGTAGATAATCTATTGATTACCGGAAGATGTGAAAAGAGTATCTCTAATTTCAAGAGTGAACTTATGGATGAGTTCGAGATGACGGACCTTAGCATAACAGTACTGCTCATGCATAAAAGAAGATATGCTTTTGAGATCTTGAAGAGGTGTGAAATGGAGCATTGTAATGCGGTAATTACACCATGTGAAGCAAGGTTGAAGTTGTCCAAGAGTGAGAATGAGAAGACGTGGATCCAACACAATATAGGAGATTGATTGGATCATTGTGGTACTTGTGCAATACGCGACCAGGCTTGGCATTTAGTGTCAGTATTGCTAGTAGATTCATGGAGAGACCTAAGGTGTCTCACTTGGTAGCGGTCAAGAGAATCCTTAGATATGTTAAAAGAACTCTTGGTTGTGGAATTCTCTTTCCGACATCGGATACGGACCAAAAATTCAATTTACTTAGTTTCACATATTCCAATTGATGTGGTGATAAGGATGATAGAAAGTCAACAACAGGATACATCTTTATGTTTGGTATGACACTAATATCTTTGTGTTCAAAGAAGGAACCAGTGGTAGCACTCTCGTCTTGTGAGGCTGAGTACATCGTGGCTTCGCTGTGTGCATGTCAAGCTATGTGGCTCATGAATCTATTGAAAGAGTTGGGTAGCAATAAGGGTGAGGCTACTACACTTCTTGTTGATAATATGCAATCAACCTTGCGAAGAATCTGATTACACATGAAAGAAGCAAGCACATAGAGATGTGGTTATATTATTTGAGGGAGCTAGTGAGTAAAGGCAAGTTACGATTGGGGTATTGTCGAAGCAAAGACCAAGTAACGTATTTGTTGACCAAGGGGGTAACAAATAAGGTGTTCAAGAGGTTTAAGATGAGCTTGAACATGCTGGACTTGGACCAATTGAAATGAGGTGGTGTGTTGAAAAGCTCTTTCCTGCCATTTCTGTTGGTGTAACTAGTTACCCTGTTTATGGTAATCGTTTACATGGTCGTTTTTTAGAGGCAGTGGCGTTTCAACTGGGGGTAACCAGTTACCCTGTTTATGGTAACCGATCACCCCTGTAGGATTTTCAATTTTCAGCTTATTTTTAAGTTGTTTTACTTTTTCCATTATTTTGTGACTGATGTATAAAAGATCTTTAATGCTCCCAATTATTGTTAGTGTCAATTTTCATTCTCACCTTCAATTACTCTCTCTCTCTCTCTCTCTCTCTCTCTCTCTCTCTATTTATCTATCTATCTATCTATCTCTCTAATTTTTCTCTCTTAATTCTTAACGTCATCTTCTAGAAATTATCCTAATTCTCTATTAACTCACCTTAATTGATTTGTGTGTTCCAACAATGATGACATAAAGACGTAACAATTTTAATGATCATAGCCAGTATAGTCCATGAATGTTGTGGGGGTAAACTCCTAAACAAGAGAGGGAGAGAACATTAAAAGACAGTAAAAGTGCAACGATAGCTCTAGATGACCAGAGTATGTGAGATCATCTATAAAAGGCATGTTACATGTCAAAAGGAGGAGAGTGGATTGTTTCACATATTCACACTAATTGAGGCTTCATTTTTCTCACAAATGAAAGATCACAAAATATTGTTCTTTTTTCAAGTACAGTTGGTGTTCACCGTAGGGCCTTAGTAAAACTAACCTCGATCATACCAATTTTTTCCACATAATCTTTATTCTCCTTAATCATTGTTTCATAATGGTGGGAACAAGGTTGTTTTTACATTTCAATTGGCTTACTTTTATAGGCAAAATGGAAAGCTAGATGGCTCGAAAGTTGTTGAGAACATCTTAGCGCACTTGATTATGTGTTTGATTTTGGAGGTTATTACAAGATTTGGTTCAGGTTTGTTCAGTTCAAGATTATACTAAAGTTACTTTGAAAGAAAGATTTGATTGGCTATTGGTTGTAGGAAAATTGTTGGGCAAGATGTCTTAAACAAGTTATGTGACATTCTGGCGTGTGTGCTGCACGAATTAGGTTCTTATTCTCCTAGTATTTTATTCAATATTTGTTTTGGTTTTAATTCTTCTAGAAGTCTGTCATAGAAGAATAAATATAAATTAAATTAATTTGTAAAAGATTTTATCTTGATCATGAAGATCAAATTGGATGTGATTTAATTAAAGGATTTGGAATGAATTTATTTAAAAGAGACATAGTTAATTTATTTAAAGCATATTTGTTTTCTTTTATATCTAATCAAAGATTTAATTGATTTTTTGCTATTTGGTTTAAAGTAATATTTGATGTGAATCAAATTCAACAAGATTTAGTTTGATAAAATCAAGATATTTTATTATGAATCCTTTACTTGATAAGTTGGAATTATCATTTATATCAAGTAAATATTATTTGATTTGTTTAAGATTCAAAATTGTTTTACATGGAAAGATGCCAAACAAAATTTTTCATGATCTGTGAGACATCTGGTCTCATTTTTGGTTGTTTTGTGTTATTTTTATTAAGAAAAGATTTAACTTGAATCTTTGTTTTTCAAGATTTGTAATCAACTAAGATTTACAATCAACATTAATAAAGATTTATCCCATGCACTTTTGAGAGGCCACTCGCATTCAAGACCTAAACCCTAATGGGGTTTCTTGTTGGATCATTGTTACTATATAAGGAGACAATCTCCTTTTTGAATACTTAGAACTTTAGAGAAAATATTCACTCTATAAGAGATTTTGATTTTAGTCTTGTATTTATTTCACAATACTCTATTCTTAGGTCTTATTCCTTTGATAAGGAATATAGTATTTGAGTTGTAACTTTGTTTCATCATTCTTATACTTTTGTAATTGTTCAAATATTTGAGAGCGTGTTTGAGTGAAAGTGAGAGGTGTCTCAGATTCAGGGGAAACCCTGATTGAATCTTCACGGATAATATTAGGATTGCGGCATTGGACGAAGTGGGTTCAGATAAGACCAATTATATTTCTGGCTATTAAGAGTGGAGTTCTTTCTATAGGGTGCCCTGAATAGAAATCCATGTGTAGTATTAGGAAAATTGACTTTGAACTAAGAGGGTTCAACTAAGTCCAATTTCTACTTCTGAATATTAAGAGTGAATTTTCTTTCATTGGATTAATGTCGTTCACACGTAATAGAATTTGTAGTGAACTAAATTACCAGTTCATGTGTTATTTATAATTTGCTTTTATTATGTACGTTACGTAATTATCTTGTCATACACGTTGTCCTATATATTGTGTCTGATATCTTTCTATTTAATGAACAAAATTTCAATTGGCATCAGAGTAGGTACCCTGTTTTATTTTGGTGTGTTCCAGAGTTCTTATTCTTTTCAAGATGGAGAATGCCAAAGAAAGAGAATTAGTTCATCGGCCAACGATTCTTAATGGTGCTAAGAATCCTCCAAAGATTGTAGCTAAAGATAATTATCAAGATTGTGAAGACCAAATATAATATGATAAATATCAAGTTTTATAAGATCATGAGAAGACTGTACATAAGATCTGGGAATAATGTCCCTACTAATGTCAAAGACAATCAACATCACAATTTTTAAAATTTCATGTGATGTCTAAAAAAACATCTAAGATGCAATAAAAAGTCCGGTAAAATTTTACCTTTTAAGGTTAGATACTTTTTATCAAACTCCCTGGATTGAGCCTATCTATCACACTTTTAACTTGTTTAGGAAGGATGAGAGTAGAATACATGCCAAAATCATCTTTAAATTTAAAGGAAAAGGTACTAAAATCACGGGTTGGTTGAATGTCTAGATACAGGCTCTTTCTGGTAACCTTAGTATAGAGCTATTTCGAAACAAAAAGATAGATCCAATATCTAGTACCAAGTTCAAGAGAACAATTATTTCAAATACAACACATGCAACTACTATGAATAAAGAAATAAACATAGCCATATGATTATTTTATTGGCAGATCAGCTCAAAACTTCTTGATGAATTCGTAAATGTGATTGGCAATTTCCTCTGCGGTTTCTTGATTATTGAAGTGAGCCACCCCTTTCTGCACAATCACTTCTTGCAAATTGGGCACATCTTCCTTAAAATCTCCACCATGTATATACTCCTTCAAGTTAAGCATGGTGTATGCCATGTCTAAATCACCGGTAATGAATTTTACAGGCACCTTGATTTTCACTCCATTCCATGGTGCCAGCAGCTCCCAATTTCTGCAATACAAGTAATATTTTTTCTGTCATTAACTATCAACTATTAACACAAACATCAGACACTTGAACAATATAGATTAGTGAAAACGTTACTGGTTAAAGTTTCTATAGTAGTTCAATCCTCCAGTGAAGCCAGTTTTCTCAAATTTGGAAACATAATAAGCAAGATCATCTTCTGTGAGCCAAGGTGGCAGAGTGTCCGGTACATTCGGGTTGAATCCGGTTCCATATTCTCCCTTTGGAAATATTGGAGGACCGGTTTTCCGGGTTGTGAAGATATTTTTCAGCACATATGCAGCACCAACTTCAGCCATCTCAGCTTCCATTTTGCCGGGTTCCTGTGATACGGATCAAAACAATATCTAAAAATTTGAGGAATACACTCAGATAAAATTGGAAAAAAAGTAAAGAAACGGAAAGAACCTGAAATCTGCAGATATAATAATCATCCCCATAAGCAGCATGCATGCCATCAACTGTTCTGATTTTGGGGTGTCTACGGAGGAAGGGAACACTGAGACACACAAAGGCTTTGACTCTTTCAGGTCGAATCATGCATAAATACCATCCCATGACAGCACCCCAATCATGAGCCACGAGGAACACTTGTTCAACACCGAGTAAATCGATCAGAGCAACGATGTCACCTACTATATGAAATACTGTGTAGCTGGTTACGGAAGCTGGAGCATCGGTGTCGCCGTAGCCACGTAGATCTGGTGCCACAGCACGGTAACCGAGGGAGGCGAGAGCAGCAATCTGGTGGCGCCAAGAGTACCAGAGTTCAGGGAAGCCGTGAAGAAACAAAACAACCGGTCCTTCTTTGCCTTTCTCGGCAATATGCATCTTGATTCCATTTACTTCAACTGTTCTGTGTTCTATTCCTTCCATTATTGATTCTTTTTGAGAGAAAGTGTGAAGAAATTTTGGATGCACATTTTGAATAGGATGTTTCAATATTTAAATTGGCGATGATAATTTAATAATCAATAATGTAACTTGTGTGGTACGAAAAATATAGTAAATTAATCATTACCATCATGTTGTATTAACTATACAAAATTTATTTATTTTTGTTGGAGATTGCAAAATCTTGGGTATCAGTTTCGCCAGCTAATCATTTTTTTGTTTTTGTAAGCATAGCCAGCAATCCTCGATTTTAATAAGTTTGTAATTTTCCTCATTAGTTTGATTTTCTATTTTAAATTTTAAGTTTTTTTAATTAAGGAAAATAACAAAATTATAAACACAAACATATTAGTATTATTAAACTAATTTTAATTTAGTATAATAAATATAAAGAGAATATATATATCATTTTGAGAGTTGGTAAGATGATTCTATGTTGGTCTCAAATTTTATAAAACACTTAGACCATGGACTATCTTTTAAAAACTAATTATTTTAATTAATTTTTAGAAATAAAATTAATATTATTTGTATCAATATAGTTCTAGGGCAATCTAAGCACTTGTAGAGTATTTCAGCTAATATGGATGGGTGTGAAACCAATTTAGAGTTACATTGATTAGGTCGCAATGATATGTGGTGAGAAGGGAGTGGTCACTAAACCACAAAATCATTTCAAACTCTAAGAATAGGGAGTTGACTCAGACACGAGTCATATAACGACTTATCTGATATTGTGGGACTAAATACCTAATCAATAAAACATGATAATGGTGGTATGAAGATGTAATAGTTATAACCTTAGTAAAGATCATGAATTTCGTGCGGCAAACTCCTAGACAAGGGAGGGATAAGGCATTGAAAGACAGTACAAATATAATGAGAACTTTAATTGAGACTTCGCTTTTCCCACAAATGAGAGATCACATACCTTGTACTTTTTTCAAGTACAGTTAGCACACATTGTGGGTCTTTAGTAAAACTAACATATATTGAGTTTTTCTACATAACCTTTATTCTCCTTAACCAGTGTTTCATAATTGTGGGAACAAGATATTAGAGTTTGGCCTAACACATACATATATAGCCATGGCAATGATGGTGTCCTATTGAGAATGTAACCAAACATGAATGGTTACATCGTGAGAAAAAAAACTCATCAAATTATCATCCTAAGATTCTCTACCGAGATTTGGAAAACCTTATCCTAGAATACTTTAAGTAGCATTCCTTTATAATATTTGATGGAAAAAGTGACCTGTTGGAGCATGCCAATGCCATCAACATGCAATTGATTGTAATTGGTGTGACATATTTCTTTAAATTTAAGCTCCTGACCGAGACATTGGAGTAAGTATCCATGCTCTAGTACATGAACCTTCTCATGTTCTCAGTGATAAGCTATTAGGATCTATCTAGAAAACTTATCCACTAATTCTCACTGAGTAGGCACCTGAAAGCCTCTACCACAAATTTGTTTGATGTGTGTAACATGCACTAAAAATTGATACGAGAATATTTAGCAAGGTTAATTAAGGCCACCATTAAAAGAATCAACCACAATCAACTGTAGCTGATTTCCAGAATAAACTTGAGGCAATATATTCTAACGATTCCCTAACACATAAGCATCAGATGAAAAAAAATCATGGTGCGAGCGGAGTGTTGCGTGAGAGGAAAATAAACCAATACTGAAAAGAGTGCTAGAGATGCAAAGGAAAAGAATGGTGATGGATTTGAATCTTTTGTCAACTGCAAGAACTGTTAGAACAACATACAAAAAAACAGAGATTGAAGGTAGTAACAATGGTGGAAAAAGAATTGGAGAAGAAGATGAACTTGAGAGAGAAAGAGAATTAGGGTAGAGAGTATTATTGGATGAATTAAAATTGACATTAATTGGAATTGGAAATTTCAAAATGTATTTATACACTTGAGAGAATAATCCAAAAAACCAAAAACCAACTAAAGTGGCCATGCTGTTAAATTTACCAGAATTTAACAGCTTTCAACACACCACCTCACTTTAGTTGCTCCAAGTTCATCATGCTCAAGCTCTTTAACAGTCTCTTGAACACCTCATTTGTCACACCTTTTGTCAACAAATCCGCAACTTGGTCCTCGCTTCGGCAATAGCTCAATCTAAGCTTTCCATCACCGACCAATTCTCTCAAGTAATGAAACTGCACCTCAATATGCTTGCTCCTTCCGTGTGCAATCGGATTCTTCGCAAGATTTATCGCGGAAACATTATCCACAAACAGTGTGGTAACATCATCATCACCACATCTCAATTCCTTCATAAGATTCACAAGCCACATAGCTTGGCACGCACTCAACGATGCTGCAATGTACTCGGCCTCACAAGAAGAGAGTGTTACAACCGGTTCCTTCTTCGAACACCATGAGATTGGTGTACTATCGAACATAAAGATGTAACCTGCCGTCGATTTTCGATCATCTTTATCTCCGCACCAATTAGAATTGGTGTAGCCAAGTTGGATCAATGCCTCCATTGTTGAGCTGAATTCTTAGTATACTATTATGTCTAGAGTAACTGATGTTTCTATTATAGTAACCTCTAAAGCGATTGCAAATGTTATTAATTGGGAGGAGATTGGAGAAATCCCAAGAACTCTTATTTGGGAACACTATCTTCCCACTTGGCGTATCTTTGTAGATCCATCTAATACATCAGTGGTTTCAAATCTTCTTCTTGATGTTGTTGTTTGGAGCCAGATTCTGAATTCAAACTTACTACCTGAGGATAAAGATTTAGACCAAATGGACCCTATTGAAAAATATCTTCTTCTACTTCTTAATTTAGATTTGAATATTGATCTTCCTCAAGTTATGTTTGACCATCTGAAAATGTCTCTTTCTTCTTTTCAAAAGGGAAAGATCTTATTCATTCCTTATGGACGAGTTATTTCTGAAATACTTGTTCAGCAAGGGGTTTAACATAAGTTCTGAGGCTAGTTCTTCCAAGATTTGAAGAGACAAGTTTGAAGCTATCTATGAAAGATTCTAATGTTAGATTTCTGCATAATAATGATTTGTATTGTTGTTGAAATTTTTGTATTAAGCATATTATTAATAAATTTAGAGCTTGTTCATGCTTGTGTTCAGTTTTAACTGATTAATATTTATTCTTGTTGTTCACTTAGAATCTGAAATAGATAAAAGAACTCAAATGTTTGCAACTTATTTTATTAATAAAAAGGAAGCTATTACAAGAAAATTAGATTTTTCTAGTCTAATGGATATGTCCTAAGGAACTCCCTAGGATCATCTAACATGCCTCGATTATCTAAGAAATTTTGCCATTCTTCCTTAGCAAACTCCAAAGCCTCCTTTCTTAGTTTGTTTCTGCGTCTGAATCTAGAAGATCTTCTTCTATGTGTCTTCACAAAGGATGCTGAAGAGGAGAACACTTCTGAAGTTGTCTGTATTTTCTGAGGCTTCAAAGCAGCTACTGTTGAACCTCCTTCTGAAAATCATTCAGGTACTGCCAAAGTTACCTCTTTTGTAGAAATTATTGTTGAGGGTAGAGGTACAGTTTTAGAGGACTCAGAAGCAGCTCGCCTCTGAGGGAATTGGATTGCCAAGCTTGTAGAGCTCTCAGTTGCATCTATTACGACAGATGCATTATGACTAATAGTTGCTGATTCCATATCTTTAGGTTGGTGATTGATGAAAATGACTTAGGAGATGGATATTTTTATAATGACTTCTGTGGATACAAAGAGTATAAAATTAATCCTTGTTTAATTCTTAGAATAGTAAAGACCACTAAGACTTCAAAGCGCCCACTTTACAAACCTTAATGACTTTTATTACTTGATTATTCTTTCTCTTTGGAAACTGATCCATTAATGATAATCTGAGTTACATTTATTAGTGATATTTTTTCTATTTCCTTATTTTCCTTTTTTTTTATGTGATAAAAAAGGGAGAAACAATAGTAAGTATTTAAGTGGAAACTGAACCCATTGAATACATGTTCTGTATATATTGGTCATTTATTTTCTGTTTTTATGGGTACTTTGTCTAGGGCGTATTTTTTACTTTCTTGTACATTGGTCTAAGGAAGATCTTACAAACCTCATACTTAGCCTATCAGACCCAGAAGGAGCTTATAAACCTCATATTTCGGTGTTGCCAAGGAAAGTTAAAAAGGGCAACATATTTTAACTTTCTTGTACTTAGTGTTAAGAAAGAGCTTACAAACCTCTGACTTAGCCTATGAGACTCAGAAGGAGCTTACAAACCTTGTATTCTGGTGTTGCCAAAAGGAGTTAAAATATTGTTATTTTTGTGTTCTTAAATATGGAACTAAGGGGGAGCTTACAAACTTCAACCTTGGAACTGTTTGACTCAGGGGGAGCTTGTAAGCCTCAGATCCTGATGTTACTAAGAAGACTAATTTATTTTTCTTAAAAAATAGTTCTTAATGTTAGAGTAAATTAAACTCAGTTGTGAACAATCAGACTCAAGGGGAGCTTACAAACCTCATACCCTGTTGTTGTAGAGAAAATTAAATGCTACACATTATCCTTTAAATACTTATGTTTGTCATCATCAAAAAAGGGGGGATTGTTAGAACAAGATTTGTTCTTGACATTTTCTCTTTTAGTTTTAATGATAATAAAAGTATTAAAAGAACAACAATTTATTTGATGTGTGCTTTATTTATGCAGGTTCTTGTACATAAATAATCAGAATCTGTTTTACTTTGACACACTTGGAGTTGCTTCATTTCTAGCTTCTGGTGGCAGAGTCTGAAGAATAATTGCTAGTGTGGTTTGACGCAGACTCTGAACTGAAGGCCTCAGCATTCAGACGAGTTTCTACGCTTAGTAATTGTATATCAGCATCTGGTACCATTTATAGTTGGTGATAAAGTTGTGGATTATCCGTACTACTTAAAGTAAGTTGTATTGTCTTATCAGCCTGTCAGCTCGAGCCTACAAGATTGCAAG